AGGAAGGAATATAAAATTGGTTTATTTGACCAAGGTTAAAATAGATATGTTGTTATTTCTGGTAACCCTTAATGGACTTTTGCTAACACCAGGACTGAAATAATGATGCTTTATGGCTCTGTTTATAGATAAGAGATGGGATATGGGAAGAAGAGATCATTTGTTGTAATTTAAGAGGACGTGAAAAGTTACTAAAATTGTTTATACTTGTCATGATGAATGTAGGAAGTCACTTCTTTATATATTTTTCTTTTTCTTTACTATATTCTTATTTTTCTTTCTTTTCTTTTTTCTTTCTATTCTTTCTATTCTTTCCTTTTCCCATTGTACCTTTAATATTTTTTTCTATTTTTCTACCTTTCTTTTAGTTTCTAATGGTGTTTACTATTGTAATTATAAGCTTTAGTAAAATTACTTGAAAAAAAAAGTTTCTCCAACTTATGAAATTACAGTACTATCTTGTTTTATGCGGTTTTAATGCAACATTATCATACTGAGAGAGAGAAGCTGTAATTTATACAATGCATTTGCAGTCACTGATGTACAGACATTATCTCATTCTACCAGTGTCTTTGTCATGTATTACTCTTCCCATCAAAATAAAGGGAAGGAGATGGAAAAGGAAAAGCTAAAGCAAATGTTCCTAATTCCAGTCTAAATTTGAACCATTTATTTATTTTTTTTCCCTGTATATGTTTAGATAATCATATACAGCTCAGTAATTTGTTTATAGAAAGTCTCAAAATCAATAGGACTTTAGGTCTCTTCTTGAAAGCTAAGAGAGGTGGTAGAAGTAATATATAGACCAATGATATGACACAGTATAAAGCTCCCAAGGGTAATGGTAAATAAAACATACAATCACCTTAAAAACACAAGCATCTGAACATAGTACTGAACTGGACACATGCATTCTATAGCTTTTTGGCTCCCTATTTAAATAACTGATTTATTTATTTTTTTAAAAGAAAGATATACATACTTGATAGCTTGCTTGCTGAGTTGCAAATGTTATTAAAAAATGCCATCATCATGAAGGAATAATTTCTACTATTCTTAAAAGGCTGATGATCCCTTGGGTTTTGAGAAAACCCACACTTCAGAATTCTTTTACACTTTACAATCCAGTCTGAGGACAAACATTTTAAGAGGCCTGAATATACAAACACACACACACTCAAAATGTGTAGCTGCCTCAGTAGTCTCTGTATGTGCTATGTGTGCCTCCATGCACTTACAGAAACACACATTTAGATTAAGAAAGTTCTTATTTCTTCTCCTATTTCAAATAATATATGAGCAGCAATCATATTTTGAAATTGTTTTGTTGAACTTGAAAGCAGGATTCAGTGCAACAATATGCTACTTTGGTTCACTGTTCATTAGCTTCTCTCATCCATTTGATTCTCTAATGTTGTCCCTCATTTTCACGCTGGGGCAGATGCAATTGTGGAGTTTTATATCATCAGTATCCATTTTTCTTCTGACCTACTAGCAGCCTTATCCTTATAAAGAGATTTGACATAATCCATACATTTTGAAACTTTATTTAATTTTGATTGGAAAAAACAAAACAAAACCAAGAGATTAGAATTAACCTTTTAAGGGTGTTAGTTTAATTTAGGGTACGAGAAAGATGAAGATCCTTTAACGGATAACTTTCTGAAACATATCTGTCCTCCAGTTTGATTTCCAGGCAACATTCAGTCCTATCCTGGAAAACCCACTGTTATTAACCTTTATTATGCTGAACATAACATAGAAATGATTAGCTTCTTGCTTTCTTCCAACATGTTTCAGATATTGTAGCCAAATACTCCCAACAGGATTTGGATAAATTAGCAGAGCTCCAGAAAATTATTATAACTCAGGTTTGGAGGTAGGGTCAGAAGTGTTAGAACAATGATTTGACAATATTGCTCCCCCATCCTCCCCAAATTATATGGAAGGTTTTTTGTTTTTAACCTTAAGAGCCCATTTCAATTATAGAAATAAATGAAATTGTTAATGGAAATTGGCAAATGATGTGAAACTTCTAGATTTCCTAAATAGCTTGGATATTTGCTATGGTCTAATGAGTCCTGAACAACTAATGCCACTAGATGCAAATAGGCATAAATATTGTTTGTGCATGTTCTGAAAAATATGTTGCTCTTTCCTGTTTGATTTAGTGAATTAATCTTGGATGCCTTAGGTCTACTCTGTTTCCAGGTCAGTAGAAGGCAGTACTCTATATTCTCTATTTTTGAGTTCAGCTTTTGCAAATTTCTATATTTAATATTTGTTTTTGGGTAGCTACCCTACCCAGGTTACCCTATGTTCTATGTTTAAAAAAGTACAGTTGAAGAAGTCTGTTTAATTTAGTTGTCATTTTAGACAAGGCTATAAAATATATATATTAAATAAACCTATTAGGGTTTATTGCATGTCAGTTCAATAAGATATAGAAAGAATTATTTCTTAAATTGTATTTTTGTGTAGAACAGAAATATATAACCTTCCATCAGAATCAAGCCCTTTAGAAATTTGAGTGCAAAACAGAGAATATTCTAATAAAACATATTTATATTTTTGACTTGCATTCCATAGGTAATTTTAATTTATGCTCATTTGCACAGAAGCGAGTATACATAAAATAATCACTTTGTGTGAGATAGGCGGCTATATAAATATGATAAATAAAAATAAATAATACTGGTGAGAACTTATGTTACTGTGCATAGCAAATACTTGACTGAAGTTTGCATTGGGTACTTGATAC